TTTATTTGACTTGATTTTTATTTTTTATTATTTATTTATTTATTTATTTTTTTGGAGGCCTGAAGATGCCTTTAGGGCATTTCTGGTTAGCCCTATCTGGGTTCGAAACACAGAAGCTTGAGCTTGAGGGCTTTGTTGCAGCAGGCACTTAAACAACTGAGCTATTGGGCAGGCCCCCTGATTTTATTTTTTTAAAGACAGGGTCTCAAGCTGGCTTTTAACTCACTTTGTAGCCCAGGTTGCCCTATAGCTCGCACCTAAATTCTAGGGATTCAGGGGGGCAGCACCCCATCTGGCCTACAATTCCTGTTTTACAGATGGTTAAGTGACTGGCCAGAATTTGTATAAACACCTGAAGGGGCGCTCCAGGGTGCCATGTGAAAAGTGCTCCACGTTCCATCGTTACATTTTTGGAAAGTACTCCCAACCTGACTAATTTAGCTCCTCTTTCCCCAGAAAACCGCACCCAACCCTCATCCTCGGGACCCCGGAACATTTTGCAGGTTCAGGTCAACGCCCCGAAACCTTAGCGCTCTCCCCTCAGAAGCGGCGCACAAAGCGGTTCCTCTCTGCTTTCGGGAGCGCGCACGCGGAGCGGCTCGCTGATTGGGTGCGTTCCTGGGCCCAACCCGCCCCGAAGCCCATTCCAGCTCGGCGATTGGTCGAGCGGCGCTGAGGCCGCGCCTTCGGCCCGCCGCGCCCCGCCCCGCTGTCTGGGAACTCGCATGCGGCGCCGGCGGCGGCCGAGGGAGCGCGAGTGCACGGCGCAGGGCGCTAGGAGGCATTGTCGCCGTAAGTGGAGCGGAAAGTGGCCCACACAGTAAACGTGGTCTGCGGCCTGGCGTCGCAGGGCTGGGGGAGAGGCGCAGCGGAGTGTCCCGGTGTTGGCGGCGCTCCTCCCCTCCCCCAGGGGGACAGAGCCGCCGCACTCCAGCGGCTCCGCGGCCCGGGCCGAGCTGCGCGACGCGGTCCCTGGCCCGGGAGCGGGTAGCTGGGCAGCGCTGCGGGCCGGGGCCGCCGTTCCCTGAGGGAGGCGGTGCCAGCGCTGGGAGAGGCTGCTGGTGTATTTCGTCCCGAAACCACACTTGCGGGCTTTGCTTTTGCTCTGGGGAGTTGCAGGCGCCCGCACAGGAAAGGGCCTCTGGGCAGTCCCCGGCCCCGCGGTCCCCCGCGCACCTCCTCTACCGGCTTTATTCTTCTCAGTCTCCGCCTGCCAGGCACGCGGGGACCGGCTACAGGCGCCGCTGGCTGCAGGCGTGGGGGTGAGGGGACCCCTGGGGCCAGGCCCTGGAACGCTGGCCCGCCCGCCTATAGTCCTGGGGGGCGCTCGCCGACAAGTGTATTTAAGGAGCCCTTTCGCTGCTCCCCAACCCCAGGATGAACAAACACGGCGCCGGCCGACCTGCTCATTCCCCAGCCGGCTTTTTCCCTTGGGTGGGAAAGTGGGTCAGCCCTGCCCTGGGTCTGTTGGCCTAATTGGAGGTGCTGGGGTCGGAGGAAGCCCACCGCCCCACACCTTCCTGCCCGTTCCTGGCCTAGCATGGTCGAGAGGCCTGGCCAGCCGCAGCCTTGGGGGCAGCACGCACTGCCCAGAGGCTCGGGTTGCTGCACTGAGCCGCTGCCAGGATCTAAAGTTCCTGACCGACCACACCGGTAACTAAATATAGGAGCATCTGGTGCGGACTGGGTGTCGCAGCAGCTCCTTTGCAGAGATCTGCGGACTGCAGATAAGGCAGTGTTCTTGCTGGTAAGGGCCAGAGGGCCATGGTCAGGGCTTAACCCCCGACCCAACTTTGAATCCAGGTCTTGATTTGGCTGAGCAGGAGCGAGGATTGCCAGCTCCCGCCAAGCAGAACAACTTTTTGGACCTTCAGTTATATCCAGACTTCTGTCTGTGCTTGTTTGTTCATGTATTTATTGGTAGCCCCTTCATGTGGGAAGCCATAATGATCTGCAGTCTTCCCTCAGAAGTGACATATCAGCTACTTTTGATAGTCATGCAGCTGAGGAAGGTGGTATTTCCATTTTATGAATGAGGCTGTTTCACGGCACATAACTTTCCAAAACTGCCCCTGTCGAAGAACAACAGCCTGATAGGGAGGTGCCCCCATCACCTGCTGCCATGGCCTTGTAGGCCTGGTGTCATCACACTGACAGCGTCTGGCTCATTCTGCCTCCTAGTAGGAAGCTTGTTCCGGCCCATAGCCCATCTCTGCCCCTTTCCTCTGCAGTGGGGGTGCTTTAGCAGATGCCCAGGAGATGATAGAATTAAACATTTCCTGGGTCATTGTGCACACTGGGAATAGTGGAAGTGGGGTACATGGGAAGCAGCAATGAATATGGGGCCTGGACCCCATGTTGAAGGATCTCTGAGATTTGGAGTTCCTTCCTTGCCCTAAGCCCCTGCCCTCTACCACATGGGACCCAAGGTGCCGTCTAGCGGAGTGTCCAAGCCCAGATACAACCCCCTGTCTCTCCCCTTTACGATGTTCTCGACTCTTGGCCACCACTACTCAGCATATGGGGTTGACCAGATACCTCAAGGAGCCCAGCAGGATTGACCTGGGTGTGTGTGGTTGATCTGGTTCCTGGAGGTTCCGGAGGACTCACTGTTCAGATGGTATTGACTTACCATTAGTAGACCATACACCTACTCTAATACACAGGAGCCTTTACCCCAGGGCAACCCTCAGTCCTAGGTGGGACCACAACTCCGACTGTCACTTGTTTGATTTGGACAGGTTTTCTGCAAAACAATTATAACAGAAAAAGGTTTTCTTTACCTCCCCCTAGCTTCTCTCTCTCTCTCTCTCTCTCTCTCTCTCTCTCAAAATATATATATTTGAGACAGGGTCTTGCTATGTGGTTCAAGCTGGCTGTCCTTTTGCTTGTTTTAGTCTTTCCTTTATGCTAGCCTTGAACACATGGTAATCCTCTTGCCTCAGCCTCCTGAGTGCTGGAATTACAGAGTGTACCACCATGCTTGGCCTTAATTAAATAATTTTTTTTTTTTTTGTCAAATAGGCTTGAGGGTGAAAGGAGAAATGAATCTAGTTGGGTGACCTTTTCTTAATTTCCTTCCTTCCTTCTTTCTTTTTCTTTTTTCCTTCACTTCCATCCCCCTTTTCGTCCTTCTTTCCTTCTCTTGGAGATTGAACCCAAGGTCTTGTGCTAGGCTAGGGCTCTTTCACTGAGTGACACCCTCAGCCCTTTTTATTTTATTTTGAGACAGGGTTTCACTGAGTTGCCAGGGTTGGCCTAGAACTTACTACCCTTCAGTCTCCTTCACCACACCCAGCTGAAGTTCGACGATCTTTTTGATGCATTTTTGGGGTCCCATAAGCCCACTTCAGCCCCCTGATGTCCCACATTTGTTTTTCCCTCAGCCTGGACCCCTACATGTGTGGAAGAGGCCAGGCTTTTGTCATCTGATCTAGAGGGACTTCCAGCTGAACTTGGTGGAACAATTCTCTCTTTTGTGGGAAGAGGTCGTTTTAGGTGAAGACATTATGAGTTCTTATCCATGGATGGTAATTTTAGGTAGCTGTCAGTAATATTTTAGGTGATGGCTTGGATCCCCTTTTGGGGATCTAGGGCACCTCTGTGTTGTAACCAAAGGGTCCTTTGGAAGGTACGGAGTCCTTTTTCCTAGGGAACTCTTCTGATGTCTTAGACTCACATGCTGTTCCTGTTTGTGGGTCTGTGTCCATTCCAATGCACATGGTGAGGTGTTTTTCTTTTCTTTTTTTTTTTTTTAGTGGACTCTTCTTTTAATCAATGGCTGAAGGTACCACCCCACCTGGTGGTGGCTAGTGGAATTGCAGGCATAGTGTCTGATCGCCTGTCCCACCAAGGTAGCACAGACTGGGGGCACTTTGGTGATTTCTTTTCCCTCCTCTTGCTGTGAGGCCACGATGGATTCAGCGCTGTTCTTCGGAAAGGTCTTCATCTGGATCACAATCAAGCTATGTCATGTATTTTCTCCTTCATTCTTATAACCTAGTAGATGCCCAATAAATGCTTCTGACTTTTGATGATGAATGTTACAGGTGAGGAAAGGAGGGGCCACTGTGGTGGGAAGAGTCCTGTGTGGAGAGTTAGGAGACCTGTGTTCTTTGTTTCTGTCTAACCCATTCACTTCCCCTCTCGGGCCCTCGATTTCTCTAGTCATACATGGGTTAGCTCAGTTACCAAGATGCTAGCAACATTGCTGTGACGGGGTCTTAAGGGATCTCTTAAAGGCAGTGTGAAGAAGCCATTGACTCATTTTGCCACTGGCTCTCCTGTTCCCTACTGTTCTCCCCTTCCCATCTTACACACTTGGTACATTTGGCACTTGAAGGCATTTGAATTGATGGTCCTTTCCCACTTAGACTGTTTCTTGGATTTGTTAGAAGGGGCCTTTGTCTTGTACTCGGGTTGAAACCCAGGTGATGTCTGTTGACCATCATTATTGGGCAAAGTGTGGTGTATCTCTGCTCACAGCCCCGTGGGGAGGTGTGTGTGCATGAGTGTGTGTGAGTGAGTGAGTACATTAAAGGTCATGAACTACCCAGGTGACTTATGCTAAGTCACTGAGTGCTTCTGACCCTCAGAGGGAGGAGAGAGCCTGGGACGGGCCAGGGCATCAGGGAAGACTTTCTGAAGGTGGAGAGATGGGAATTCTACTCATTCCTTAAGGATGAGTCCACTGAGTTGTTTGTTCCAAGTCACACAGAGATTGCACGTATGCTGCTGTGTTCTCTCAGTTCAGTGTCCTGGACTCTGAGCTAGGCGGGTCTTTGTGTTTTGATGGGTCACATGAACTCAGCAAGGTGTCACTAGATCTCCAGCTCAGATCATGGAACAGGGCTCAGAGCAGTTAGGAAACTCTGTCAAGGCTTCTGAGCTGCTGAGTGGGGAGCTGGGCATCAGGCCCATCTCCTGATACAGTCTTCTCCCACTGCATCGTGGTCTCAGACCCGCAGGGCCAGCCTCCTTGGTGCAACACGTAGATGTGGTGCACTGCTGCCCTGCCTCTGAACCTGAGCCCTCAGCACTCTTTCTTGGTGTCCGCAGCAGCCCAGAGTACTGTGCCTGGGCCCCTCCTCTCTGCCTTTCTTGTTCTGTCCTCAGCTCTTGAAGTGGATTCCCTGGAGCAACTTGAGCTGCCTGGGGAGCAGGGCTTGGGCCCAGGGCACATTTGGAAGGCATCGGCCTTAGTCACTTCTTTCCTTTCTCCTGGGGTGCTGCTTCAATAAGCAGGGAACAGGGAGTCTGGGACATTTCTGTGTCTTTATGTCTTACTACTTGTAATTCTGACACCTCAGACTTTCGTCTTCCTTGCTCTTCTTCAAGCCTTTTCTCCCTAGTGATCCAGTTTCCTTCTCTCATTTCTAACCCCGCCCCATTCCTTTCAATAGCCCCAGTATTGGGCTGAGAACCAGGTCTGCAGGCCAGTGCTGTAACTGTCCCTTGCTCTTGGCACATGGGAAGGGAATTCCTAGAGACTTCTTACCTGCCAGGCTGCCGGCTCCAGTTTGCCAGGGTGCCCCTCCTTCCTGCTGTGGAAGATGCAGGTGGGGAGGACGGGGGAGCTGGAGGAGGTGTGTGATAGGCCCCTGCTCAGAGGCCTTGGGATGTGCCTTTCCCTGCAGCTCACTGTGTCTCACTGCCTCCTCAACACCCCGCCTGCTGAGTCAAGGCCAGCGCACACCTGAGACCTCACACCTGCCTGGCCACTGGTTCAAGCTAGGGGCCCTGTGTCTGGTGAGGTCATACACGTTGATCCTAGAAAAGCAGCTGCCCAGCTGTCCTTACCCAGTGACAGGCAGATCAGTCCTACCAAGGCCAAGCTGGATGTGGCCTGGGCTCTGGGTCTCCCAGAAGGAGGTGAATGGCTGGGCCCCTGCCTGTGGGCTTCCTGGCAGCCTGGGTGTCTGGAGATGAGGGTGCTGGGGGTGGACTCTGGCTGGCAGGTGGGTGTTTGATGGCCCTGTGTTTTCGCCAGGCACAGGCCCCTTTGTGAACAGCAGACCAGCCGGGGAGCTGGCAGAAGGACACCTGAGTCTGCATGCTGAAGAAGATGGGTGAGGCTGTGGCCAGAGTCGCGAGGAAGGTCAACGAGACAGTGGAGAGTGGCTCCGACACACTGGGTGAGTGCAGGCAGGCCTTTTACAGCCAGCCTGTGGTGGTTTGTGGCCTAGTATGGTGTGACTTAAAAAGAGGTGAAAGAGACATCACTGCACATCCTTGTCGTGAGGACGAGTGCTGCATGGGATTTTCATTGCAGCGGTGGCTACTGTGTATGCTGTTTGTATTCTGGACTCCAGTGTAAGGATTACTTTTTGCTCTAGCTCATGGCCAAAGAGTTATGGGAAACACCAAGTGATGGAGCCTGCCTGCCCGCCTTTGAACAGGGGTGACAGTGTGTGTGCCCTTGGAGCAGCTGCAGTGCCAGGTGGGCCCTGGCTGTGTCGGTACCTCTTGTTGAATCATTCCAGTTTCCCCATGATGAGTGGTGTCTGCCAGGTGTGGTTGGCCTTGGTCTGTGGATGAGGGGATGGAAGGGTGACCATGACTAAGAAGCCCCTTTACATTGCACTGTATCACCTGAATGTCATATGTGTCTTTTGAATCAGTCGTAACATCTTAGCTCAGTGGTTATGCTGAGACTCTAAGCATTTAAGTAAAGCGTCTTGCTTGATGAGCTCAGCAGCTGTTTATGACGAAGTGCGGCAGGGAGACAGTGCAGCTTTCTGTGTGCACCAGCATGCATGGATGATGCATGTGTGTGTATCTCATTCCTGGAGTGCAGGTACCAACTGGGGGCCACAGACATGGTGAGGGCACACAGAGGACAGGAGCAGTCTCCCTCGGGGATAGTGGTGCGATGGACAGGTGGCCCACAGCAGGCAGAGAGGAATGCCACAGGCAGGTAGGGGTGTGTGTGTCCGCAGGGGAGCATTTCCTGGAGCAGGGGCCCTGAGGCTAGGGAGGCAGAGTGCTTCTGTGCACAGCCAGCTTCCAGGTGCAGCCAGCTTTCCGACTCCTGAGTTGGGCCAGGAAGCTGAGGGACACTTGGCTTCAGGATGGGCTTGGTCACTGCCTCCTCCAGGAAGCCCTCAGCCCTGGCCCATTCGTCTCTTACTCCCTTCCTTCTCCGTAGCACCCACTCAGTGTCCCCAGAGGACAAGGACCCTGTGTTGCCCCTTCTGCCCTGCCCCACTCCAGAGCCCTGGGCAGCATCAGGTACTGTGTTAGCATGCAGAGCTCTTTGCTCTACTTAGCCAAGGTGAGAGAGGTGTCTCTTCTGCCAGCAAATGGGCTTGAAGGTTGTTGCTGGCTTTGAAGGGACGTCTTGGCAGTCCTTAGGCTGTTGAGCTGTTGGCTATAGCCCTCAGTAGAAGATTCTGGATTCCTGCACTGGTCTTGAATATGGCTGTGTTTGCCTCAATGTTCAGCACTCTCTGCTATACTGATACTGTGGTTGACAGGCAACCAGGATCGTAGTGGCCTTGGTGTGAATCTCTACTCCGCCACTTCCTAGCGTAGTACCTAAGCAGACTGCTTAACCTGCCTGACCCTCTGTTTCTTCACCAATGGATGAGGACAGGAATTGCATCTTGCTTCATCAGGATGGTTAGAAGTAATGGTAATGACTAGGGTGCCTGACCTGCAGGGATAATGCCTGGCATTTAGTAACAGCAAGGCAGGGCTGAAAGCCAAGAGGAATTAAAAGACAGGTAGGTGGTGGCCTTGGCAAACCCGGCCCGCTCCTCCAGCTTCCCAGGTGGAGCTGGACAGCAGAGCTTCCTGGTCACAGCCAGAGTGGGAATCGTGCCTTCTGTATCTGTGACCAGAGCTCTACTCTGGGATCTGTCCCCTCAGAGATGGCTCCTTCCCTCTGGCCTTCTGGGAAGTCCCCTAGCTCAGGCAGAAGCAGCTCTTCTCTCAGCCCCTTACCTCCTCCAACGTTGTCTCCTAGACGCTTCCGGAGAGCACTGTGCTGCTCTTCCCGTCCCCTGAGTCAGGCGCTCCTCACTGCTGCCCCTTGGCTTCCCAGGTGGGCTCTTCCTCTTTGAGGCTTTATGCCTATCTGGGCTTCTCCAGTTTCTCGGGCCTTAGCCTAACCTCCCCTTCCTCCAGCCAAAGTCTTGGGGCCGCATGACTCTGTCCCTGTACTGCTTCAGGGCAGAAGCTCTGGGATCTGCTGTGTGCTAAGCGGTCAGCACTGCAGAGGACCTCAGTGTGGGAAGGCCTGGGTGCACAGAAACATGGCTGCCACAGGGGCGCGCTGGCCAGGCAGCAGGGGCCCAGCCCACGTGGGGCTGCAGCATCAGGCTGGCACATTTGGTACCTTTCATTCTTTCCTAGATTCTTTGTACTTCCTGGCTCTTTGGACCCTTGTGTGTTTATTTCTAGGAATTTCCTAGACATTGACTCTTGGTATGTTACTCTTGCCTATCCCTAAAGACTCATTTTTCTGGAATCTCTCACAGGCCCTCTCATTCTGTGCTTCTGGCCTCTGGTGTTTCCTCTCTGCCACATGTGAAGAGATTTCCTCAGATCTACCTTTCATTTCACTGTTTGCATCTTTGGGTCTAATAAGTTGAGGCATCCCTTGAATTGTTAATTTTTATTTATTTTTTGAATTGTTAATTTTTTTATAAGTTTATTATTATTTTTAAATTAATTAATTAATTAATTAATTTGTGTGTGTGTGTGTGTGTGTGTGGCCAGCTCAGCCCACCAGGGGGCTGGGGCTGGCTGGCATGTGGTGCTGGGGGATTGAACCGGCGGTCCCTGTGCTTTGCTAAGCTTGTTCTAAGTAGGTACTTTAGACCACTGAGCCATCTCACCAGCCCTGAATTGTTAATTTTTAGTACTGTATTTTTACTTTTCAAAATTCTATTTGGTTCTTTTAAAAGTCTGATATATACTAGGTTTAGTGGTGCAGACTGGTGCTGCTTGGGAGGCTGAGGCAGGAGTTGGAGTTGGGGTTGGAGACCAGACTGGGCAACACAGTGAGACCCTGTCTTGAATAAACAAATGCATAGGTAGATACATCTGATTACTATACTCTAGATACTCTTCAGATTCAGTAGATCTTTTGCCTCTTAGTAAAAAAAAAAAAAAGAATCTGTGTCTCTCTTTGTCTCTGTGTCTGTCTGTGTGTCTCTGTCTCTGTCTCTCTCTGTCTGTCTGTCTGTCTTTCTCTCTTTCTCTTTCTCTCTTATATGTATTTTTTTGGTGGCCAGAATTCAAACCAGGATCTTGTGCTTGCCAGGCAGTGTTTGCCTCTTTTTTATTCTTTTTTTTTTTTTTGCACAACAGGAACAAGTAACTTTAATGAACACAGAATCTGTGGAAATCCAGGCATTTGCAGAAAAAAAAGAGTGCAGTTGCCATAGTTTAAGGCGGCTCTTAACTTTTTACATAGAAAACTAGAAAAGGCCAACAGTTAACTTTACACTTGTCTGCTCAACACTAAGGATTTCCAGAAATCTTTGCATCCTATTGGATGAAATGTCTGTAAGTTAGGCAAGTATATCTTCTTAGTTTTGTGTTGCACTCAGCAAGACCGACCTCCCAGCCCCTCTGGATGAGGGTGTCCCTCTCTCCCTCCAGTGCCAGGTTTGCATCAGGTCTGTCTATGGACGCTGCAGCCAGGGAAGCCACAGTCTTGTAGTTCTCTGCCATCACTTCTGCGTACAGGGCATTCCCCACAGACGTAAGGCTGGCCCATTTGTTCTCACTAAAGGGCATCTCCACATCATCCAAAATCTCCAAGTCCTTGGGTTTGGACACACCTGCCATCATATGATCTCTTTTATTCTTCAGGGAGAGGCACAGGTCTCAGGAGCATAGTGCTGGGTAGCCTGCAGAACTTTACACAAGAGACAACTTAGACTACAGGTGGCAGTCCTCAGAAAAACTTTTTTTTTTTTTTTTTTTTTTTTTTTTTTTAATTTATTTGGTACACGGTCTCACTATGCAGCTCAGACTTGTAGCGATTCACCTGTTTTCAGCCTCCCCAGTGCTGGGATTACAGGCATGTGCCCCCACACTTGGACTCTGTCACAGTTGCAGGCTCAGTGTGCCCCAGGGTAGGGTTGGCGTGGCATGGGGGCAATGGAGGGTTGTACTGGGGATCCAATCCTTGTCCCTGTGCTTCTGTTCTTTCTTATCTTTTCAACACTGCCTTTTATGTCTCTAATTACTTGGCCACACTCATTCTTGGTCCTAGTTGCTTTTTCTGAGGTGGGACATTTTCTATGCGTGTCTGCTGCCCGATGACTCCTGCTCGCAGCAGGTTCTCTGGGTGAACCTCGTGTGATTGTGGACCCTCACCTGTGTCTAGGTGGCCCTGTGTTTCTGTCCGGCACCCTCATCTGTGTCTAGGCCTGAGGGGCTGTATCATCTGAGGGGGTCACGCTTGCTTCTTGTGACCAACCCTAGAAAGATGCTTCTGTTCATTTCTCAGCCCTCAAGTTTCCTGCGCCATCAAAGAAGGGACGACTGAAGCCCCAAGTAAGAACAGATCTGTGATTTCAGAAGCTGTGGGGGAGATTTTTGTTTTAAATTTGGTTAGCCAAAGACAAAACACAGCTTTCTAACCATGAAAAAGTAAAATTTTCTTGTTGCAGAAAGTAGTCCAAAATCCCAGCTTCCTCTGTAGTCCTGGCTGTAGCTTCCCACCTCGAGCAAGCCTAGTTATGTTCTTATACACCCCTACCTTACCCACCCAGGACTGAGGATTGAACCCAGAACCTTTGTACTAAGCTACATCACAACTCTTTGTTACTTTTTGTTTTGAGGTAAGATCTAAGTTGTCTGGGCTGGGCTTGAATTTAAGTCCTCCTGCTTCCGTCTCCTAGGCTGCTGGCCTTACATGTGCACCATCACCTTGCTCTCCCTCTGGGCCCTTGGGTGGCCTGGACTGTCCTACGAGCTGAGGCTAGCAGAGCATTAGCAGCCATCTACCACCCTGACTTTTAATTCTTCTTGGCTTTTGGCCCCTGACTCACTATTATTAAATGCCAGGTATGAATCCAAATGCCTTGCCAGTTTTGACTCATTTAATTATCATCACAACCTTATGACATAGGTGACGTTACACAAAAGTTGGAGAAACTAACACTCAGTGTGTTTA